AGAATTCTGGACTATTGCAGCAAATCTCAGGCTGGGCAGAGAACAAGCTGCTGCATCCTGCCTTTCTGCTCTTTGTGAAGTACTGAATTGTTTTTAAATCCAGCTTGAAAAATCTAAATAAACACATGTCACAATTTCAAGTTTGTTTTGTTTTTTATTAATCTTTTTACAGCTTGATTGAACTATATTTTTACAGAAAAAAAAAAAAGACATACAGACTAATTGAATAAGAATACAAGTGCTATATTTAAGTATTTTATATGTTCCATGTAAATTCCCAGCAGTTCAACAGGTGTATTTAAAGACTGTGCTTATGTGCAGAGTTTGGGGATATAATTCTGCCTAGTTGGGTTTGCTTTTTATTGCCACTATTATTTATATGTGCATAATGGAAAAGCATAATAGTAGCCAGTTTGTGCTTTTAGAAAAAATAGAGTCACAACAGGAGTTGAGCTTCTAGCAACACTATATATTTTCATCTATAATTATATTATATATATATATATCAGCTTCACCAGCCAGGGTTCAACTTTGCATCTGAATCTTTAAGGGATGATTTATTTTTTGTGCACACCCCAATTTATCACTCCAGTACCTCTGTACCCTAATTCTCCATCCCCTGTGTCTCCCCCCCACCGCTGACCTCAAGTCATTTTCCTCTGGCCCCATCATTAAAACACTTTATTTTCTTAATGCAATATATTTAATGCTCCTATTCCATGTTTATCCCTCTTTACTGTATTTCTTTATGTAATATTTTTAGTGATGGAACAGCTCCTCAGGAAGGGTTTATGTGGCTCAGAGCTGGGCCTGGGTTTGGTATTTGGGATATCTGGAATGGCTTTTTCTTATGGTTTGGGACCCCCTTCACTATTTTTTCTTTTCTTTAAAAATAATATAAATCAAAATGTACTTTGCAAATTTGATCCATAATAAGAGAAGCCCCATTTCAGCTGGATCAACCCAAAAACTTCTTTCTCCTGGGTCTGTAACACTTCCCCATGTAAAGCCACCCATCAGATCAGCTTTTCCTTTTGCCTAAATATGCTGGGATTGTACATGGAAGATGCTGCTTGGCCGAGTGGCAGCAGGATTGTGCAAGAAATGGTCTTATTTGATTCCAAAATGAAGAGTTGAGGCCGTGGAGGCTGAATTTTCCCATTAGATGGCAGCAGCTGCAGCAATTCCTCCCCACTGCAATATTGCTGCTGCAGGGAAGGACCAGGGAGCTCGAGCAGGGCCCAAAGTGGGAGCGGAGAAACAAAAGGCTTCCCAGAACAGCAGGCAGAAAGAAATGTCTGTCTTATTCCCCTGGAAATAATCTCTAGAAAAAAGGATGGAGTTTTTGCCCAAAGCATGAGTTACTCCACTCCAAACATCCCCGCCAAACCTGGAGATGAATTTTTCATTGCCAGGCTAGGAGAAACACCAGGCAGGCAATAAATCACATTGGAAAACATGGGCAGCATGTTGCACTTGAAAGCATCTTTCACCTTTAATAATTCACATCCCAGCAAACATTCCCACTCCAGGATCAAAGGCACCGCTCCTTTGCAAGCCATTAAATGCCTGTACGAGTATTTGGAGGAGGATCAAGGCCTGGGATATTAATAGCAGGAGGGAAATGCATGCTTGTTTGGACCACAGGATGCTTTTTTTAAATCAGGTGCTTTCCTTTTAAGCTGTTTGAAATTCCTCAAGGCGCTCCACAAGAATTAGAGGAGCTGCCTCAGCCAAGCCAAGATTGGGAAGATCTCGGATACCAGCCCAAAGGCAGCGGGCGTTTACCACCATCCTGCTTGGATGAATCCACCTTGGAAGCTGAGAACCCACACAAGCTTCTGACAAGTTGGAACAAATCTTCAACCACAGCTTTCAGTGCCCCAGCCATGGGATTTGGGGCAGGGGTTCTGCCCAGGAGTGTCTCCCAGAATTCCATCTCATTCCCCTGGAAAGACAGTAAAATCAAGCCAAGGAGACAATCCCTCTCCCTGTGCTGGTATTGACAGGGCAGGAAATCCAAACCTGAGTTAGAGGAAGTCCTTTTTCTTGCAATGTTTAATTCATCTGCAGAACTCAGTGCTGCAGGAAGTTGTTGAGGCCGAGAACTTAAACAAGGTTGAAATTGAAACAAGATTGCTCTAAAGGGACCTGTTTTAGTGGAACAGGGGGAGTGGAACGAGAAGATCGTTAAGGTTCTTCCAACCCAAACCATTCTAGCATTCTATGAAAATGCATCGGAGAGATACCAAAAACACACATCACACCCACAATCAAGAGCTGACTGAAAATATGTTTAATTGCAGTTAAGGACTGAAGTTCATGTCTGAGAGCACGGTGAGGCTGAAAGCCCTCGCTCCTGCATTCTCCCAAGCTTTTCACGCCAGGGGTGCCTCCAGGGACCTTCCCTTGTCCCATCTCCAGCCCTTTACTCCTCGAAGCCTTTCCCACAATTTTTAGGGCTTTCCACATTTTTTTAGGGGGTGTTAACTGTGTGCTTGTCACTTGACCTGTGGGAATGGGCACCCATGTCCCCCATGGGGCTGGGGATAAGTGGGGTTCAAGGGGGCACTCTGTGGGTCTCCCAGGGGGTGCTGGAGGGTCTGTGGGGCTGCAGGGTGATACTGGGGTCTAATGGGATGCTGGGGACTGGAGGGAGGTGTTAGGGGTGCTGTGTGATGTGGCTGTGGAAGATTTTGGGGGTTCTTGTGTGTGCTGAGAGCTCAGGAAGATGCTGAGGGCTCATGTGGGTGTTGTGTGGGATGTCTTAAAGTGCCGGTGGGGTCCTAGGGGCTCGGCTGTTTCTTGGGGGGGTCTGTGAGTGATGGGGGATCAGGCAGGTGCTGGGGTGTGGTCTCAAGGTGTTTGTGGGCTCAGATAGGTACTGGTGGGGTGTCTGTGCGTAATGACAGGGTCAGGCAGTTGCTGGGGGTGGTCTCAAAGTATTTATGGGCTCAGACGGCTGCTGGGAAGGGTCTTAGGGGTCCTAAGGAGCTCTGATGATCCAAGGGAGGCTCAGGCTGGTCTGGGTTGAGGCAGTCACAGACTGAGATGGGTGCCATATTCTCCATATTCTGGGCTGAAACATGCAGGGAGTCTCAGTGGGACACTGTGGGTGCCAGAGGGGAGTGATGAAGGTGTTGAGGGGCTGTTGGGAGGTACTGGGGTGGTTGGGGGACCTGAGGGATGTTTGTGGCACTGGGAGGCCCTGGAGCTGGCTCGGGTGTTGGAAGGTCCTGGGGGGTGTTGGGGGTCCCAGGACAGTGCTGGTGGTCCCAGGGCAGTGTTGGGGGTTCTGAGGGGTGTTTGGGGCAGTGGAAGGACAGGTGTTGGTGGGGACCTGGGGGGTGTTGAGGCTTCAGGCCAAACAGGGTGTTGGGAGTCCTGGGCAGTGCTGGGGGTCCCAGGCTGGGCCGGGCCGGGTGTTGAGGGCCTCGGTGGTGTTGGGGGGCCCTGGGTAGTGCTGGGTTCTCCAGGCGTGTTGGGGTCCCTGGCAGTGTTCCCTGGGCAGTGTGGCGGTCCGGGAGCGGTGTTGGGTTCCCCTGGCAGTGCTGGCCCCCCGGACAGCGTTCCCTGGGCGGTGTGGGGGTCCCAGGCAGTGTTTCCTGGGCGGTGTGGGGGTCTCGGGGCGGTGCTGGGACCCAGAGGAATGTTCCCTGGGCGGTGTAGGGAGTCCCAGGCAGTGTTTCCTGGGCGGTGTAGGGGTCCCGGGGCGGTACCGGGTCCCGGGGCACTGTACGGGCCCCAGTTCGGGCCGGGCCCTGCCGGAAGCCGGAAGCGGGGCCGCGCCCGCCCCGCCGCGGGAGGAGCCGCGGCCGCAGCCGGAGCAGGAGCCGGAGCCGGAGCTGGAGCGGGGCGGGCGGGGCCGCAGCCGGAGCGGGAGGAGCCGCCGGGCGGGACGCGAGCGGGGTGAGGTCGCGGGCGGGGGTCGTGGGGGGCCCGGAGCGCGGCCTCTCCCCGCGGGCTCGGCCTGGGGGGGCTCCCCGGCTTGTGGAGGCCGGAGCAGGGGGTGGGGGTTGGGGGTGTCCTGTTTCAGTTTATTGATGTATTTTTAAGAATAATCCTCTGGTTGGGGCTCCTCTGCCTCAGAGGAGCACGGGCGAGGCCGTGGGGCTGTGGCCGGGTGAGGGTTCCTCCGGAGGGGTTTCAGCGCAAGGCTGGGACCTGATCCCCGGGCAGGGCGAGGGAGGCGGCATCAAGAGTGTTAAAGCAAATGGAATATATTTTTATATCTAAACATATGTACATCATTGTAGGTTCACCAGCAAGGCGAGCAAGCTTTCCCTATTAAAGACTCCTCCAGCAGCGTTTCTGTCTAAATATTTACCTTCTAAAGCCTTGGACTAACCACCCTGGGCTCTGTGGGCAGAACTGGGCGCTGGGGTGCAAACCCTGCAAGCCAAGTGCCATCACTTTCTGTTTGTGGAGAGAGCTGCTGATTCCTCCCAGGGTGGTGGAGTTTATAAAAAACCAGGATAGCATACGGGTTCCTCATTCAAAGGCCTCGCTCTAAGGGGTTTGCAAGGGATGAGCCCTGTTCAGAGTGTGTGTGGTAGCAAAGAGGGTACAGCAGCCTGTTATTGTTTTGTCGGTTGTATTGGAGGGATATGAAGAGAAATCATTGCTCGTTATTTGTTTTTTAAGGCCTCCTCCGTTCTCCCAACGATGTGGGATTATAATGCCTTATTTCCTAGCTGGAAGATTGAGTTACTCTTGAATTTGTCAAGGAGCTCGATTGGATTTTTAGTGTCTGTGATTTACAGGGGTTGTCTACAGAGATGTTTGCTCAGAGTGGAATGTAAATGGAGAGGGGTGGGAACTGAGATATATCTCTGTGTTGTATTTTAGCAGGAGAGGGGTGGGAACTGAGATATATCTCTGTGTTGTATTTTAGCAGGATTTTTCTGTTGTTTGGAAAAGGGGAGACAACAGTGTTTGACAGCATTTCTGTGAGGATGTTTGTTTTAAGTGGTTCCAGACAGATCCTGCAAGCAGGAGAAGCTTGTTGAATCTGCTGGAATTCTGCACTGGACAGCTTCACTGGGGAAAGCTTTGGCACTCAGGAGCCAGAGGACACTAGATAATCTTTCAGACCACTTAGCACACCACTTACAGTGTCCAGGCAACTAGAATAACCAGAAAAGCTGGAGGGGGAAAAAAAAAGGCCATTAATATCCTGCAGATGTGCTGGCTCTTGCTTGTTCCATGAATCAGGTTATTGCGTGAATGAAAGAGTTAGTAAAGCAATGGTTTGTTTTTATCATCATGTGCATGGCAGGTGCTTTACAGATGCGAAGAAGAGGTCCTTGTCTTGGAGAGGTTAATAAGAGATATTATTGACCCAACCTGCTTTGCTTGCCCATGGGGCTGCTCAGGTGGCAAGATCTGGGACAAATATTTGCATGGAATGCAAGGAATGTCGGTAGAAGAGGGCCAGGAGCTAATTAACCTGGTAATGTAGTGCAATGTGTTCTGGGGCTGGGTTTTAATTTGCCATTTTTACCTTTTTGGTGTTTCTGTGGCTGTGGCTAGAAATTTGACACTGATGTTAATGTAACATCTGACATTAACTGCTGGAGTTGAATGCTTAGGCAGCTGCTGACCAAACAAATTATGTTTATTTTTCAGCCAGATAATTTTCCTGATCTGATGCTCCATGTGATCACATAAACAAGTATGCAAGGGCAGAACAGGGGGGATCTTGTGGGGGGAGGAGCAATCCCTGAAGCTGGTAGTCCTGTGAAACCTAGGGGTTTTTGAAAATACACCCCAGTGTTGCATTAAAAAGAAGATATTAAAATTGCCCTTGCTTGAGCTGTGACTTATAGGAGCCCGTGGTTTAGGCGGAAAGCTGTCAGCCAGTCCTTTAAAGGCAAATCAGAGTTCAAATCTGAGCTTTATCATGTCTCTTGTTCTAGCCATACATAGAGTTATGGCTGATTTGCGCTGTGGGAGAAGCCAGAACAAATTGCATCTGAGCAAATCTAAGTTTGGGTGGCTTGTTACTCAGGGCTGGTCAGTGTGTGTGCTCAGGTGAGCAGAGCAGCTCTGCTTTCACAGCAGGCTGTGCGGGAGATGTGTACAGAGCCCTGGGGATACTTACACTTCTCACAGTGCTGGGACAGAATTTGAGGAGCAAAGTGGTGAATTAGGTGGATTCATGAGGTGGTTCCTGGGCCCAGGAAACTGGAGCAAAATGGGGACAGGGTCCTGATTTCAATTTTCAGCTGTGATTATCCATTGTGCTTCTTGTGTTTTTATTTGATGATCCTCAGGCTGTGCTGTGCTCTCCAGGCAGAGCATTTCTAAACTCTCTCCCAGCTGGCCCAGTTTGATCAGGTTAGTGTTACCCAGCTCAGAAACAAGAGGCAAAGCAAAACTCTACAGATGCCTTTCCCCCAGGCAATGGGAAAATTTTTTACAGTGTGATTCTCACATTGTCAACTTGTACCTTGTCCAGCAATTTCTTTACATCTTTTCTTGAGCCCATCAGCTGCTCTCAAAGAGGCCTTTGTGGCAGAGTGGAAGTGGTAGAGGAAAATATTTTTTTTTTTTTTTTTGCAACTTTACGTTGATCTCTCATGGGTAGAGTCTTACAAGTTAAAAATAATTGGCTGTCAGATGCCATTTTGTCACCCAGCACAATGCAGTTCTTGCTGGGATACTTAGTTCTGGGACATCTCTGACCTGCAGGCAAACTTGGAGAGGAAGGTGAGGGGCTTTGTTGCCTGCAGAGCAGCTGCTCTTATGTTGCTGTTACTCAATAATCAGTTGGCCTGGACGTTAGGTTGCGAAAATTTAAACAAATTGTAAACTGCTGAACTTTGCCCCACACATTCTGCTTATTTCTCAGTCCTGTCCCTATTGCTGACGGGGGATTTAATGAAAACAAATCTGGGTTAAAATAAGCGACTGAAATTATAGCGCGGGAGGGCTTAGCGGGGCTGCTGTGTGTGATGATCAGCTTTGTATTGTTGGCTTTTGTACTTGGTGAGCAATTGCTTTATGGGATGGATTCATTTGGAATACATGAATAAATGAAGTTTCGTGGATTTCTGGGAAGCTTTGTTCATTTACATAAGCTGCGAATCTCAGCTGGTTCTGCTCTTGTCAGGAAATTTCACGGCTTCTTTGAGTCGGTGGGAGATCCTGAACCAGCAGAGACTATCAGGAGTGCAGCTCAATGTTGTGCTGTTGGCTGGGAGCAGGTTTGCTCCAGAGGAGCCTTCCTTGTTTCCTGGGCACTGCCACATTGCTGGGATGGCTGTGCAAGCTGCTGTTGGGTGGTGTGGCTGCAGTTGATTCCTGTTAATGCACCCCATCTCTCCTCAGGGATTTCTCCTCGGAGGCCATGGAGCTTTCGGCCAATGAGCTCAGCATCTATGACAAGCTCTCTGAGACCATTGATCTGGTGAGACAGACTGGCCACCAGTGTGGCATGTCAGAAAAAGCCATTGAGAAGTTCATCAAGCAACTCTTGGAAAGAAATGAACCCCAGAGGGGCCCCCCACGGTACCCTGTCTTAGTGGCTCTCTACAAGGTAAGATGACTTTTGTGCATGAGCACAGCATTTGAGGGTCAGGGTTCTCCTTTGCACTTGAGCTTTCTATTTCCCATTACATTTTATTAATTAATTTTCCAAGATCTTTATTTAAAAAGCTGTGAAGTGTAGCTTCCTTCCTTCATGCCACGAGCTGCTTTGAGAACAGGAGATAGCTGCCCAAGATTTGGAATTACTCATGTGTGCTGTAAATTTATGTTGTCAATATCTTCCATCTCCATTATTAAATAATGAGATCTGGGTTGATTTTTCAGACTAAGATTCCTAATGTTGGCATCCTGAGTGGAAATGTGAGGAAGGAAAGAGATTCTTGAAGTTCAGGGTTGAGTAATGAAGTGAACATGGCTTTGTTTCTGACCCTGTCACAAACTTCTACATGTTTTTATTCTCCTTATGGTCTATGAAACAAACATTATAATCATGCTTGATGGTAGAAAAATGTTTTAAAAGTCTTAACTAAGAGATTCTGTAGAATCTTTTGCAAAGTGGGTGAAAAGATGCTATTGTGAGGTAGGTTTGAGACCATTCAGTCCCAGACTGGTTTGGGTTGGAAGAGATCTTCAAGATCATCTAGTTCTAAGTTCCTGCCATGGGCAGGACCCCTTCCACTAGACCAGATGTTTGCTTCAAGTCTGAAAAGTTTCCCACTGACATAATATTCAGTAATACTTTAGTGTCATCTCTACAAATCTATTGCACTGGGTTTTATTTGGAAAAAAACCCAAGCTCTCTTCCTCGTGTCCTATAAAAAGCTGTAAAATGAGGCAGGAGAGCAGGAAACTGCAAATTTGAACTTTCAGCTTCTGTTCTTGTTTTTGCCGTTGATTCAGTTTGACTTTGGCCAGGGGGAGAAATGCGTCATGTCATCTCTTTAAGGCTTATTTGGGATTCTGGTATGGAGGAGGGAGCTGGTGCCAACTCTGCCAAAGTGTTTCGAGGCTTGACGGATGTTTGCAAAAGCCACAGAGTTTTCCTTGTGTAAGAGGCATGGCAGGAGTGCAAGCTTTTATTTGATTAGGTAGGGAGGAAAAGGAACTATCTGTAGATAATCCTGATTGATCTCATGCTGGATTATTTGCAGTGCTAAGATACAGGAACAGAGTTGTTTGTGTGGCTTGGGTTTGAAGGCTGCTTAATTTCATCCGTGGACAGCCCTAATAATAAAATTAGGTGTCAACTCTGTGCACATAAATAGCATTGCAGCTGAACGAGGAGACACAGCAAAAATAAGAGTGTTCATGTTGTGGTGCACAGGCACAGCCCTTTGATACCAGCAGAAGGCGTGTCCCAGTCTGAGGACACCTCAGCTGCCTGCAGTGTGATTAACTCTGTGCCTGTTTTCCCTCACAGGGTCTGCTCACCCTGGGCTTGGTGTTGCTGACTGTTTACTTGGTGATCCAGCCCTACAACCCGCTGCCGCCCGAAGCGCCACTCTCCAGAGCCCAGGCCTGGGGCTCCCTCGTCGGCCATATCCGGCTGCTGTCCCTGCCCATTGCCAAGAAGTACATGCTGGAGAGTAAGGAAATGTTTTCCCTTCTAGCGAGAAATACCAACTTAAATATCAGCCACGCGAGTCACTCAGGCGTCTCCAGGGCACCATAAATGTGTTGCTGGCTTGGCATCATGCTTTTCTCTTTTCCTACCACTATACTTAAAATAGCATCCTAAGTTCCAGCTTCACTGGGACTGAAGCATATTTTATCTCTAACTTGATAATTTTGTTCTTGCACATTCTCTTTTCCTTGCTTTTAACACTTCAGGTCTTTCTTCCACATGAGTTCCCTTTCCTCTAGAAATCTTTGCACTTCTAAGAACCAGAACTGAGATAGCTCTGCTGGGAAAATGTCACCTTTCCTTGTTTTTCTGAGTAGAGCAAAACCAGTTTCTCAAGCAAATCTTTGTATCTGTGAGCAAAGTGTAAAAACCTCAAGTTGTGGCCTGCTTTAAGGAAGAGGAGTTTTTGCCAAGTGGCATATTGGGAAAGGCCTGGGGGATTGAGTGCTGTCATGTTTACTTGACATTAAGGGCAGTGTGTGTGTGTGTGTGTGTGTGTGTGTGAGGAAGTCAGATAAGGGTTCCCCGTGAGGTGATCCCATTACAGCAGAGCAACATCGTAGATTTTCCTAGAATGGCATAATACAAATGGAAAAGTTTGGCTATTTCTCATTCTTGTTTAATCATTTCACTGACTTAGACTGGCAGGTGGGTGCAAGCCTGGGCTCTGCCTCTGCTGGAGCACAAAGACTGTCAGTGATGATAAAGCTGTGAATTATTTTGAGCAGGGATGTGGCACAATGTTGATGGTCTGGTGGCTCACTGTAAAAACAAACTCCTATAGCCTGCCCTTGTCAGATTTATATTTAGCTTGGACACCTCATTGTGTTGGAGCTGTCTGTGTTGGCTCTAACCTTCCTGCCAGAGCTAAAAAGGGCTCCCTGAAATGCCAGCACCATTCTGCATTCTCTCCCTCCCTCTTTTCCATCGTGGGATTTCTGTTGATTCCAATTTGTATGGGTGACACTGGGTATGCCCCATTGTTCCTCTTCTTATACATTGGGATATCTCTGGGAGTGAAAATCAAAGGTGAGGAGATGGCTCTGATAAGCACTTGACATTAGAAGCCTGCTTATCTACTGCATTCCAGCTTTTCCACGGGTGAACACCCCCCTTCTCCTGTATTGAGATGGAATCCAGTGGGAATTTTAATGCTCATTTCACTTTTCACAACGGCCAGGAGTGACAGGGCAAAGGGTAATGGACTAAATTTGAAGGAGGGGAGGTTGGATGTTAGGAGGAAATTCTTCCTGTGAGGCTAGGGAGGCCCTGGCACAGGTTGCCCAGAGAAGCTGTGGCTGCCCTGTCCCTGGAAGCATTCCAGGCCGGGTTGGATGGGGCTTGGAGCAACCTGGGATAGTGGAAGGTGTCCCTGCCCATGGCAGGGGGTGAAGCAAGATGAATTTTAAGGTCCCTTCCAACCCAAACCAGTCTGGGATTCTATTTTATTTGTTCAGTCAGATTTTGTCAAGAAAGTTGACAGGTTCTTCCCTCAGATACCACAGGGTCCCTTTGGATGAGAAGAGCCCAGGGATGTTCCTTGGCACAGCAAAAGGTTTGTAGGGCAAGGGCTGCCTGAAACAATGAGCATCTCCTTGATAAATAAGAGCAGGAGCAGTTCTGACTACCTTTGGAAAAACCAGCTGAATGATGAGGAGATGGGCAAACATCCAGTGGAAGAGGGGAAAAGGGAAGGATGGATGGAGAGGAAGGATGCAGTGTTGTTATTTAAATGCACATAGAATCTTTCATGCCTGTGTGAGTCCTGTAAGTCTTCAGAAGCGATGAGCAATAGGATGGGCAGCAATCCAGTTCTGGGGAAAAGAGGAGAGGGGGGAGGCAGTTCCTGCTCTCTTTCCACAGAATTAGGTTGTGGTGGAAGCCACAGCATGTCCCCATTAACAGATTGACTGGGGTTGGCTGGAGTGACTTTGATCCTGCCTCAGCAAAAGGAACTGGACAAGATTCTGGCTATTTGAAGGGAGAGTGCAGCACCCAGCCTGAACCTTGGCTGAGTTCCTGTGGGAATCCCTCATGTCCTGGCTTCCCAGCAGGCAGCTGCGGCCACCGACACTGTCCCCGTGACACTGGTGTCACCATCACAGCTTGCTGCTGAGAGGACACTGGTGAAGCCATCCAGCAGGGATCTGGAGGGAGTTCCTTAGCTTGCAACTGAGTGCTCTCCCAAGCCCTTTCAGCCCTGCTTTGATTGTGTTGTAATTTTGGCCTTGTGGTATGCTGAAGGGAAGGGGTAAAGCTGCATCTTGTGTCTTGTTTGTTGATGAGAGTGTAAGTCCAGGAGGTCTTGCAGGCAGGTCTGGTGTTCTCTGATCATAGGATCCCACAATAGTTTGCACTGGAAGGGACCTCTGCAAGTCACCCAGTTCAACCCCACTGCCAAGGCAGGGTCACCTGGAACAGGTGGGTTTGGAATGTGTACAGAGGGAGAGGAGACATGACCTCCCTGGGCAGCTGTTCCAGTGCTCTGCCACCCTCCGTGAAAAGAAGTTCTTTCTCATGTTGAGGTGGAAAATTTTGTGTTTTAGTTTGTGGCCATTGCTCCTTGTCATCTTGCTGGACACCATGGAAGAGTCTGGAACGTTCTCTTGGCATCCCTTGGAGATGTTTATATGCATTATTGAGATAGAAGGGATGGTTGCACTGTGCCTGAGCAGCAGAGAAAACCACTAATGCAGGGACTTGACGTACAGACTCCTCTTCCTTTCCCTACATAGGTCCTGGGAAGAAAATTTTGAGGGAGCTGAGGATGGATCTTGGAGCGCCAGTTCAAAGCCAGCTGGGGCTGTTCCTGTTGAAAGCCACCTGTTGTCAGCTGGAGGCTGCTGTGGCCCACCGGCAGTGCTGGCCCACATTGCCGTGGTGCGGACACGGCCCAGCCCGGCATGGGTGGTCTGGCTCCTTCCTCTGTGCCTGGGCAGGCAGGGGCAGCCTGGGCTGTGCTGTCCCTCCTGAGCTTTGGGGCAGCTTTCCTGTGTCCAGGGTTGAGGTTGGAGCCTGGTCCGCTGGGAGGTGTGGGCTGAGCAGCCAGGTTTGTGTTGCAAAACAAGGGCAGCTCAGTTGCTGGGTTTCCCCTGAGAGCCAAGAGCTCCAGTCAGATTGGTGGTGAGGCTTTGGGAGGTACAGAGGTGCAGGATGTGCTCCTCCCTCCCTCCTGCTTATGGTGACCTGCCCTCCATCCTTGTCCCTTCCACCCAAGAGCTGTGCTGTGGGTGACAAGGGCTGCCTGTCTATCAGTGGCTGTGGGTGGACCTTGGAGCAGCTGAGGTGAGGAGCAGGATCCACAGAACTCTCTTGCATTGTTTATAGGATTGAGTCCAAAGTAAATTTCCTTTTTGCCTGTCTCTGTGCTCTCTTTCTTGCTGACTTTTTTTCCCCCCGGATCAATTGCCATATTAAACCTTATGTTCCCATTCTTTGTTCCTTGATAGCTGACTCTTAGACCCTTGGGTCTGTGCCTCTCTTCCAGCTGTTTTCCCAGGGCAAGGTCCCTGTGGTTGGGGAAAAGGTCTGTGGAAATGTGGTTTGCATTTGCTCTTCCTGAGCTGGTGTTTATGCAGAGCTTGTGAAAGCCCCAGTGCTGGGTCACATTGGCTGCTCCGGGCCTGTGGCTCTTGGCACATCAGCCCTTCATTAATAACCCCAGAGAGGCAGTGGGCTCTCAGACCTCTGGGTCTGCCTGCTGTAAGGAACACGGTGTATTGTGATGGCCACATGGGTTAACTCACAGCTATCTGATGCTATTCCAGGGGAAAAGTAGGACCTATGCATTCTGGATTCATTTCTCACACAGGCTGTGGATGGACAATTCCCTCTGTGTTCCAGTTCTCTGGTGCAGAATAGGGGTACAAGTGCTGCTGTCTCCCCTGCAAGCATTAGGAAGTAATATATGAGCTCTCTGCAGTAAAGCCAAATGAAAAGGGGTTTCCTGTTCTTTTAACAGAAATTTTAAATCCACACTGGTGGTCACTCTGCCTGATTTTTCTTCCCTTCACAACTGTGTCATCCCTACAGCCTTGTTAATATCTAAATATGATTTTTGATGTCAGCTGGTTGGTAACTGTTCCCTGCCAGCCATGCAGTGATGTGATGAGCAGAGCATTAAGCTGCTTTCACATTAACTTGTGTGTCTGCCCATAGTAAATTCCGTCCTTGTAGCTCAAAAGCTCAGCAGAGCAGGTCTGTCAGTGGGGAACAGGCTGTGACCCAATGTGACAATTTGCACGTTGTACTGGTAGCAGGGGTTGTAATGATCTCGAGGAAAATCCAGTTTTTCTTTTAATGATGACACTTGGTCCTGGGCACACTCATCCTACACAGCCCAGAATCAGCTGGGTCAGTAACTGCTCAGCACACCTGAAATCAGACAAAAGCACACATGGATCTCAGTGCTGGAAAAGAGATCCTGTGCAGGTTGTCTCCAGCTTGGAGAAGAAGTGTTAAATACCCCTTTTTCCCTAGACCAGTAGGGCTAAAATCATCTTTACAGGTTTATATGTAATTATTGTAGAGAAAGGAGCCCAGCTGGAGGAGCTGTGTTTAGCAACACCTTGTAAATGGCCTGTCACTGTGTTACTAAAGCCTGCTGGGTGCCAGAGCTGTTTGTGGGGATGGGTCACAGCAGGGTTACTGGGGGAGGACAGCAGCTGGTTACTGGGAGAAGGCAGCAGCCTCTGCTTCTTGGCTGGCCCACCTTGGGTTTAGCTGGAGGCTTGCCTTGGCACTTGGCCAGCTCCTGTCTCTTCTCTGATCTTAACCCTTTGTAGGCAGAACACTTTTCCCTATGCTTCTCTCACTCCAGCCTTGGAGTGTTTTTGTCCTTGGCACAGCTCTGTGCAGGAGAGCATCCAGTATGCCTGCCTTGCCCAGGCTGCTGCTTCTTGAGAGCATCAGGGGCACCCAGGTGTTCATCCAGCCTTTCCCTGTGAGCTGAGCACCCAGGTG